AGCATTTAACCATATACAAGTTAGGATGATTGTTTTAGGTCATAAATATTAACAGCTGCTCAGAATTTGTATTCCTGATACATTAATCTGTGTCAAACCACAAACAAAACCATGAACAGCCACGATGTACACACACTCTCCGCAGGGGCAAGGGCTACAGTGATGAAAGGGCATATCTACCTTACATATTTACAACAAAGAACATTGTGTTTTACTGTCTGAGATTTGGGTGTTGTTTAATTATAGCAACTTGTTAAAAGTGCATTATCTTAGATTTTACACATTGCCTAATAAATCAACGGAAAATGGAGCAGTGTCTCTCTATTATCCTACCCCCCTCCATGACACTGTGCTGTCTCGAGCACTTCTGTTGTTATTCCAGCTTCTCTACGCTGCATTTTCAAATCAGGTCTGTAAATTATCCCCACCTGCCACCTAGCGAAGGTCATTAGAAGCATTTTTCAAACCATGAGTAGCCTCCCATGGAGAACCTTTCATCAGCTAAAAGTCCGAAACATTGCCTACCAGACTAAAGAATTCATGTTGTTTTGCACAGAGATAGTGTTACAAAGAAAGAGCAAAAACCAGGGTTGACGCTGGTTTGGGGTTTTCAAATTAGATTCAGAAGTGGTGTTGATCCTTCTTGATACATTAGTATCTAAAGCTAACGTGTTTGATTGGTTGACATGAGTGACCTGGCACGGTGCTGATTTTGTATTGACTTAATATGATTTCAATTTCTGAGTAACTGGAGCTTTGTCAAGTCTATGGTCTCACTAGACCCCCTAGTGGCTGAAAATAAATTAGGTAGAGTAGCTTTAAGACATGGATACATTATGATAAAATTACAGATTAGAGGATTCCTAACATGCAGAGGGGGAGCAAATACTTTTTCAACCCTGTAGTGTGTTTGCGTGTATTGATTTCATACTATACTGTAGCAGCCTTAAACAATTAGTTAGGGTGGAATATACATTGTGTAGCCTGCAAGGTAGAACCCAGGGCAAAGATGTCTGTAATTCACTCACTGGAAGCCATTGGAAACAGCCACTTTGTCAAAAACAAAAGCCACTAGGGAATCTTGACTTTGTTCTGTCATCTCTCTATTGACAGCTATCTATTAAAGTCATAAAGAGCCCAAAGATATAATTATACTAACTATGTATCTGCACAGAAAGGTTACTAATTATCATGTACAGTTGCTTCAGAAAATATTCAGACCTCTTCTTTTTGGCACTCTTTATTCACACTTTACCATAGAGGTCTACAATGAGCTCTTTAGACTCCCTGTATTATTTGGTTGTTGTTGTCCTAACATAGTATGAACCATGGGACCTTACATACAGTACAAAGGTGTATGCCTTCCTATACTTTGTCCAGTTAATTCAGTTTGCCACAGGTGGACTCCAATCATGTGCTGAACACATGTCAAGGATAATTAAGACAAACAGGTGCACCAGGCCACAGTTTGGAGTGCCACACTTTGAGCACTTTGTAAACGAGGCATTTCAGTTTTTGCTTTTTAATGAATTTAGCAAATTTCTAAAAACATGTTCTTTATCATTATGAAGTATTGAGTATATATTCAACAATTTATTTTTCTTTTCTCAAAGAAACAACATATTAGTATACACACACACACACACACACACACACACACACACACACACACACACACAGTAGCAGAGCTCAGAAATAGTAATTCAAAAAAAGAGGGAAACTACAAAAATGGTAATTTAACCCAGCACACTAAACAACGCCATATATAAATCGTTTAATGGAATAAAAATCAAAACAAAAAACGACTTTATTATCATCTGTGCTGTGTTAAAACCGAACAGCTGAACTTTACCTAACATTCCCTCCAACTTATTTAGTGAAGATCACTTGTGTATCAGAGCATGAATAGTGCATCATACATCAGGTAGGGATCATGCTGGGAAAAAATAGGCTGACAGCTCGGAGACTTCAGCTCCTCCATCACAGAGATATGATGT